CTCTACGTCTGCTGCCACCCCGACGGCAGGTTGAGGGTGAGGACTCCCAGGAGCATCGCTTGCTTCTGGAAGTCAGGCTGGATACCCTCGTGAAGAGAGGCTAGCTGGCAACTTGTCCCCACCAAAATCCCCCTCTGAGCCCAACCGAACCCCTCTGTCTCCTCCGGGTGTGTGCAGACACCGCCGAGCAGGAGCAGGAGCCCCAGGACCCACTGCTCACCAAGACCTCGGGCTCAAAGGGTTGAGGGGACACATCCAGCACAGAGCCGACGGAGATTTCACAAGTATCTGAGGGGTTGATGCCTCTAGATGGCAGGAGAGGGGTACGGATCACACGGAGCATCCTTGCTCTTGGTCAGCAAAGCCAGCTCTGTGCTCCCAGCTGCTGGAAAGGGGAACAAACCAACATGAGGTAGGGCTGCAGAGCTGGGGAAGAAACAAGAGCATCCTCTTATACTTTAAGTGGGAGTTCACCAGACACTTTAATTCCAGGGTTAAATTGTTTTGAGAAAAGTATGAGTTCGATAGTGCGAGGGGATTGCGAGTGGTGTGCTCCCAGCACTCGTGTTCGTGCCAAGGTGTTCACACAAGGTGCCGCTTTCGGGCTGTGCTCCAGGGAAACACGGCTTGTGGCAACAGGCTACGGCCGGCTGACGAGACATCGTGTCCTGGAGGTTGTCACCTCCCTGCTGGAGTCTCTCAGGGACTGGACAGCACAGTAAGTGTCCCTGCAAGGGGGCAAGGAATCTGCTCCAGCCCTGCTCCTATCAGTCCCTGCAGGAAAACCAGGAGAGGATTTTAAGATGTTTCACTTTTCAGTATCTCGGCAAAAGGTTTGTCCACAGGGACAAAAGCATCCCAAAGGAGGCATCAGACTCTGTTGCGTTGCTTCAGCCAAGGCTATGATACCCTGTCCTCCAAACTTGGAAGGGGAGATGAGGGGAGCTACGTCTCCAGAAAAGGCACTGATTTTGGAAAGGCAATATTTCAAGGTGAAGAGTGAGATAACACGGTGCAGGCCAGGATGTCTGATGCCAAAGATCACCTCTCCGATGGCAGAGAGAAGCACAACAGGCAAACATCAGCTGCAGAGGCTGAGATGGGAACCTGCTGTGGCACAGCTCACCAAACACTCCCCAGACACGGCTCCAAGCCCTGCCGTGAAGCAAGGCAGGGGGCTACCAGATCAGATGGTCTTGGCAAGTCAAAGACACTAATTCCTGTATTCTCTTTGCTCGCAGCGAAGATTTCACAGTAACTCCACTGAACACACCTCTGTGCCCATGACCAAAACCAGCCTGAAATATGGAAATTAGCATAACGAGACGTATGAGCCACTGAATTTTATAGCAATTAGGAGCATCACACTGCTCATCTGCCTGCGTGGGCTGGTGGGGAGCGGAGCCATCCTTTGGTTCCCCAGCTTCAGCAGCAAGAGGAAGCCTTTCGCTGCCTCCGTCCTGAACCTGGCCATCCTCAGGAGGAGCTGAGCAGCTCCTCTGCTCAGCTGGTTCAACAACTAACCACACATTCCAAAATCCCCACTGTACTGATCTTTTTCTAGTTACCTACCTAAGGCGTCATTTTGTTCCTACTCCTAAATTAAATTTGGATTTCTTTTTTTTTGTTTCCAGCGTGGTAACTCTGACCCCAAAGTTTGTTGGGTGAACAACAACGGGGCTTCACTGCACAGCTTGTCACTGGGGAACAGAGCAAGGCTGACTCGACTCTGTCAGAAAATGGCTCGTTTCCTCTCGTTCTAAAGCCTCTGTCTTGTCTATGAGGAGGGCAAGTACCTCCATAGCATGATGCACCTCATCCTAAGGTAGGTGCCTGCAATAGGTGGGATGAGCCATCTGCTGGCAGTGCCAACACCTCCTCATTCGTTCTGGGAGGGACCTGAGCAGCAGATGACATCTCTGGGATGTCTGCAGTCAGCAGAGATGTACCTCGCTGCAAGAAGCCTCCAGTGGAGCCAAAGCCCGGCAGCGGAGCTGAAAGCTTTCCTCAGGAGCAGCCGAGCACACCAGGAGAGCACCTCCTGGTAGGGTGGAGGGGCTGAAGCCGGCTGAGGCAGGCAGAGGTGGGAGGGCAGAGGGAAAGAAGGACTTCGCAGCATCCCACCAACTGGGAGACTGCTGGGAAAAGCAGGGAGGAGGCACACAGATATTGTCACGTTTGGAGGTGGCAGGGATGCCTGCGTTCACCCACCCTGCCTCTTACACAGTGGGAAGTTGTCCATCCTTTTCCCACTGCCTTAAATCCAAGGGTAACTAACCTGCCACTGCTTTTAGAAAGAGAAGCGAGAGTGTAGCCCATGGGTGGTGAGTCATGCTTTGAAGACACATGATGAGATTAAACGTCTAAGAAGCATTTATTAACAGAGCTGTTTTAAAGAACAGGGCAAGAGTCTTCCATGGTTGAAAGCGTTCTTTTTCTCCCTCTCTCCCATTTTCTTGTCTTTTGGTAAGTAAAAACTTTCCGAGTTACACCCTGTTGGCCAGGAAAGGGCTCCCATCACCCAGGGAGTGTCTCCCAAGGCAGATGCAGCAAGACCACGATCCTCCCGCGCGCTTTTCCTGCTTCCCGGGATCTCCCTTGCCTCCAGAGTCACCCAGGCCACCACCTATCCGACCTTCTTGTTTTCACCAGAGAGTTCTATGGGTTTGGTTATCACAGCTCTGTACCTGTACAGCGCCAAGTGATCAGATTTTCATTCCAGCGTGTCTGGCGACATGTAGCTCTGGGCTGAGGGGCAAACCAAAGGGCAGAGAGACTTCTGTCACCATCCCAGGTCCCAGAGGCCATGGCATGAGTAGCTCCTGTGGCTACTCTGCCGATACCTTTTCTCCCTCCACTCCTCCTTGCCGGCTGCATCTTCCCAACGTTTCCCTCATAGTAAAGTTAGTGCAGCCTGGTGGGGAGAGGTACCGGGAAACAAAACCAGCTCAAAAGCGATGGTTTGTTGGTGGGTTAGTTCACAGGTAAAGGAGAGCTGGTGTCCCCCCCAGCTCCGTGACAGCAGACACAGCGGGGAGGGAGAAGTGGGGGAAGCGCTGCCAGTGCCCCTTTTACCCAGGGAGCGCCTAAACCAGGCCACAGGGAGTGGGTCCTCACGGCCTCGCCAGAGTCTTTTCCATAAAAAGTCCACTGGTTTCCTTCCCTCTCCCTGTGTCCTCTTTCACATGGAAAATCCAGTCTTTACGGTGTCTTCAGGCAGGGCTGTGCTTTTGGGGTTGTTTCATTTTAACCCTACTCCTCTTGTTTTTCTAGACGAGCAACAGGCACACCAAAGGTATACAGACCTCAGGTCACGGTTGCGAAATGGCATTTGCTCAAGCTCACCGACCAGACAGCCCGGGGAACAGTGGGAGGAACCACGAGAGGCAGCGTGTGCGGACGACCCACGGGAGGAGCGGACAAAACCCATTTGCAGCAGAAGCAATGCCTTTCGGGGAAAGCCTTCCAGGGGCAATCCCAAACCCATGCCGACTTGCCTGGTAACCAAGCTGGATGTGAAGTCTTCACATATTCTTCACGCCGGAGATGCACACGCAGGGGTTTGCCCAGGACTTGTGCCGCCCTGCTGTGCCAAGCTTTCTTATCCACCCACACTCTGCTCTGAAGCAGACACTCCCACTGGCAGGAGCTAAGAGCCTCCGTCGCTCTGGTTTAACAGCACGCAGGGTAGAACAAGCTCACTTTTGAGACAGGGGAAGCTCAGACCTGTTGGACAGAGCAGATTCAAAGCAAAGGTTTCAAAGCAAGACGGGCATTTCATCCCGCTGTCCAGTGTCCACCCCAAGCAGGAGCTCCCGTGCCACCCAGCACGGTTTGTTGGGCTGCAGCTAACGCCGTTCAGCTCAGACCCTCATCGAAGCCGTCTTCTTGGTCTCACCCTGGCTCACGGGACGCCTCCGTCCCTTGAGCATCTTCTCTCAGGGAGGTTTAAACAGCTGTTTCCACTGTGTTTTCTCTGGGAGTTTCGCCTTTATTTTGGGGCTCTGTTAGGTCTTCAAAAGCCCTCTGGAAAGCAGCCCTAACAGAGAGCGTGAACTTACTTGCACAGCTCCCAACCAAGAAGTAAATAAAAGGGTTGATGCTGCTGTTCACACAGGCAAACAGGAGAGAGGCATTGAAGACAAACCCAGAAAAATCAAACAGTCTCAGCAAGAGCCAGTAACCAAAATCAGCAGTGAAGAAGGGGAAGAAGACGACAGCTAGCAGGACCACAACACAGAGCTTGCTTGGGGGATATCGCCATGAACAGCACAAGACCCTGGCAAGCAGGGTCAGACCAGAAAGAATCAGGGTGAGCACCGATACGAGGCAGCTCAGGATGAAGAAAATGAGTGCCGCAGGGCAGAAGTAGAGGGTCACAGTGAGCAGCAAGGAGAGGGCCCAGAGCAGGGCACACACGAGCACTGGTGAGCACTGGGAGCGGTGGCAGGGGCAGCGGGACGGGGGGAGAACGGACAGAGACGTCACGGCACTGAAGGCTGTCAGGAGGTAGACGCTGGCGGTGAAAGTAAAAAGGATGGTGATGTTCAACACAGTTGTCACGTCCCGTGAGCCCAGCCTGTGACAAAGGCTCTCTGGGCCGTACAATATCACAAGGGCAATGGCGATGGAGAGGAGGAAGGTGAAGTCGGCGACGGCCAGGTTGAGGATGTAGACGGTGACGGGGTTCCTGCGGACGTGGGAGCTGAGGAACCAGAGGACGGTCCCGTTCCCCACCAGCCCGCAGAAGCAGACGAGCAGCGTGACAGGGACTTCGCTCAAGTGACCGGCTTCACCGTCAGACCAGTTGTAGGGGTTGTCCTCGTGCCTTGGCAGCCTGTGATGCCAGCTCCTGTTATATGCCGCCCCACCGGGCTGGCTCCAGCAAGCCGGGCTGGCTCTTTCCATGGCAGGGAACAACGTGCTCGTTACGAAACTGCTGCGGCTTCTCCTTCCTCCTTCACACAGCTGGAGGGATGAGATGAAACAGAGATAGGTTAGCCACTCTGCTGTCCCCCACACTGGGCTTTTCAGATCTTCACAGCCACGTGGAGGAGCAGGGAGAGGGATGAGGGACAGGAGAGATGGAAGGCAGGATGCGGGGAGACGTGTATGACATGACTGGCATTAGAGCATGCGCAGTGGTGGAGCAAAAGCTGAGGAGATGCCTCCTTCCTGACTTTGGGCAGGACAGATCTGGAGGAGGAAAACAACAAGCTGAAAAGTTTGTCCTTGGAGATGTCAAAGAGCAAGTGGTTTTGGGGGTGGATCTGATATAGATCCTCATGTGCCTGATATTACAGTCGATATTACTAAGCTGTTGGGTTCCTTTGGTGGGACATCCATTTCAGTATTCCCCTACCTCCTTTTTCCATAAGATTTACAGTCCTCAATATCCAGGAGACCACTATTCCCCAATCAGATTTGGTGCAAATTGACCAACAGGTTCAAAACCCATGGAGGG